AAATATGAGAATGACATGAGATTTTGATTACATTTAAATAATTACTGGACACGGGCGCTTCCCGGCGTACTTGGAAAGATTTAATTTACAAAATAATAGTCTTTGTAGTTTTTGTAGTGCTGAAGGCAATGTACGACATTTCGTCGAAGACTGGGTGTTATTGCGATATGTTCGAGAAAAGCATGGTAACATAAAGGAATTCTACTGCGGCAGATTTGCGAAGGATTTGATGAACTTTGTAAATGGCAATAGAATAATACTAGGAATTTTGGTTTGATGGTTTTGACTGTATTTCTGTTTTAATCTGTGTTTTAATCTTTTAGCTGTATTTTTGTGTCGGGTGTGCTGCGGTAACCATGAGGCCGATTACTATCGGCCAGGAGAGTTACAGCACACTCTTATATTACATTACATTACACTAATATTTATATATATTTTTAAACTTAGCTTCAGAGTCGCCGATTGTATGAAGAAGGTACACGAATCAGATGACATCATATCAGGCATGGACAGGCGAACATATCGATGGGGATTTCGGGACATTCTGTCCCAGATATCCAACAGCTTGTGATTTGTTTTCAACGAAACAATTCGTACTACCTCAGTTGAATTCGACATGAACGAAGCAACTTTAGCAACGACTTCCACTCTGACTTCCAGTAGAAAAAGAGGTAAGTACGCATTTTTCTAGTACCCGCATATTCAAATGTTTTATTTCGAGGATATCTTGAACACAGTGCACGCAAAAATTTGATATACCCTCAAATGAGGAGGTAAAATCAGTTTGAAAATTACAGGTGAGCTTGATAAGCTCATCTGATGGATATATCTGATCGCCAGCTTGGTAAGCTGATCTGATGAACTACGTTCAATTGAAGAAGAATTTTTTCTGTAAGGTTGTACCGCCGATTTTCGAAAACTAGTTATAAGATGCAAAGGTGAACTATCGCATTGAAGTAGTTAGATCTCATATGAAAACATTCTCTATTCTCATATCAGTTTATTTGTTGTCAGCTCAATTCAACTGCTGTTTATTAGCTGAATTTATTTTTTATGTTTAAATATATTGAAGTAAACATGCAACTGCCTAATGGCCGTTCACTCGAGTCTTTCAGAAAGGTACCGTATTTCCCATAAGACGCACTTTTTTTAACTCTAAAATGTGTCCTAAAATCAGACTGCGTTTTATGGGCTGAGGGTACAAATTCGTCTTCTAAGACGCAAGCTGATTCGTCTAGAAAAATACTATTCAATATTTTTTCCCGCAATCAGGCATAGAAAATGATTGCCCTAATTAAAAATGTCGATACTAACACTGTTTTAAGCCAGTAGAATGTAAGTGAATTTTAATATTTCCTAAAACATTTCCCAAATAAATCATTCGTATAAATAAGATAGAGTATGCTTATGCATACTATGCAACATAATGTAGTTTAGTTTCATCTCACATGTTAGTTCGTGGGCCACGATGCTGAAAGCAGCTTGGAAAATAACTTTCGTAGCACTTATTTAGGGGCAATGCAGAACTGCTTTCAGATGCATCATTTTTATAAAATGGATAAAATTATACAAAGCTCTGTTTTAGCAATGTGCACATTAAATGCAAATTAATAAAAATAAATAGCATTACTTGTCGCTCAAAAATACGTCGCACTAATAACAAGACGTATTACAATCCACAGCAATCAGTCTCATAAGGAAATAATTTTGTTTTCAAAGCCGTCTAACTTTTTCTCCCTTTCCCGTCTGTCACTCACTTCAAACCAATTTACATTTGAAAACTGTAGTATTCTTTCTTTATTATTAACTTTTAAAATGCAAGCAACAATTCAATGGAGCTGCATGTCTACACAACTCACATTTGTTTGTTTGCATCGTGTTTGGCGCTTCGAAAATAAAAGGCTCTGGTTGGTCAATTTTTACTAGTACAAAATAAAAACGTCTGTATAATTGTGTTCATAGGAATCAGAATATCTTGCTTTAAACTCGGAGTCTACAAGAAGTAAAACTTAAATAGTATGAGACTGATATTCAATGTATAATACGTTCCTTTAGCTTTAGTGTTTACACCTGTTTTTACACGGAAAAAAAATAAGTGTAGCATAAAAAGTTAAAATTAGAGTACCCTCATGGGATCTAAAGCAAGAAGATTGTCGTCCAGTATTGCAAATTTAACTTAAAGTTGTAAATTAGGCTTCAGAGCAACTGAAAAGCGTTTCGGCCTACCAGAATCTAAGAAGATAATACAGGAATGGAGAAAGTAGAAGATGGATTTAGTGAATGTAGATAGAAATAAAAAACTTGGAATAAAATATGGAGCGTATGAACATATTTTATAACGAATAAAATATATTCAGACGCTCCTCAATGGCTAGAGTTCGAGGAAAATGTTAAGAAATAGATAATAAGTCATAGGAAGAATGAAATTTTCTTTTTCAACAAAAAAGATTTTAATTGAAGCGAGAAAATTAGCAATAGCTATGCCTATTGTCGATTTTTCTCGGACACCATCGTGGTGCGATTCCTGAAGAGAAATGTCTGTGTATGCATGCGTCCCAGAACTACAACAGCTCAAAAACTGCCACTTGAATACGAAAGAAAGATGAAGAATTCCACACATACGTCATAAACTTGAGAAAGAAGATGCGTTTGGAGATGACAAACAGGAAACATGGGTGAAGTACCTTTGATGTTTGACGTGTTATCAGAACAGTGGACGTTAAAGGTATTAAGACAGTAATGATGACGACTTCTGGTAATAAGCAAATCCGCTATACTGCTGTTCTCTCCTGTTGTGCTGACAGTTTAAAACTTCCTTCTTTGTTAATATTTAAACGAAAAACGCTGCCTAAATATACAGTTCTACATGGAATGTATATTCGTGTTCATTCTAAAGGATGGATGGAGAGTGTATGAAGCTCTGTTTATAGCACTTGTGGTACAGGCATGTAGGTGGACACTTATAAAGAAATCATCTTTATGAGTGTGCGATCAGTTTAAGGTTCTTATAATGGAGTCAACTGAAGACACCTCTTGCTGTGATTCTTGGTGGATTGACTTCTCAGCTACAGCCTAAGGACGTTTTAGTGAATAAACCGCTCAAGGGATATATGCCTGAAGAAGGGATAAAATGGAATGAGGCGATAATTCATGACGTCACACACGGGAAGAATGAAACGGCCGTCAGTTTCTAGTACTTGTGAGTGGCTGAAAAAGTCCTGGCAGAAAGTTAAAAGTGAGACTATCATTATTAAGTCTTTTTCAGTGGAATTAACAATGCGCTAGTGAAGATGACATTGTGTGTGAGGAAAGTGACAAATCCGGTGACAGTAACTACCTAAGTGAAAATAACTTCGTATTTTAACAGCAGTAATGAAGAATTTCTGGTATTCTACGATGAATAAACGCTGATATATTTGCTAATTTTTTAACATAACAGTTCTGTTCTTGCTGTATAAAGTGTTATAACTGAAAAACGTATTTTGATTCTTTTCTATCTGACTCAAGTGTTTTTGTAAATTCTAAAGTGAAATATCACAGTGCGTCTTATACCCTGAGAACTATAGGATTTTGTCCAAAGTATACCAAGCCAAAAATCTTTCCAGGTGATGCTGCGGCGTAAAGTTTCCGGCACTTTTCAAGTGTTCAGCTATTGGGCTTTAGTCAGGCAATTTTCGTAAACTTATCAGCACAAAAAAAGTATATAAGTGTTAGCACTTTGCATTTGTAAAAGTATCAGCATTTTATGAAGCACAATTTCGTTTTAAGAAGCATGGTTTTAATTTACATTCCGATTAATTTAATCGCGGCCTCTTGCTGTAAAATCCCTTTGATTACCTAATAAAATAACACTACTACTATGTGCAATCTAATCTAATGGTTTATTATTATTATTATTAAAGTAACATATTAGTATTAACCTTTCAACCATTAAAATTCTATTCTATTATTTTGAAACAGAGACTAAAATTCTGCTATTATTCTATTAGTACTAAGTAGACAACTGATTTTGAACAATATATCAAAACTTCCTGAACTTAGAACACGAATAATAACAATCTGAAGTCTCTTTGTGCAAATATATTTGGCGCTTCCTTAATTTTACATTCTATATGTTTCTGATATGTATATAAGTTTTAAATGTGTAATTCAATATTTTATTTCTATAGAAAAAGTAATTTACTTTTTTCTTTATGCATATTATTTCTCATCGTTGACAAATTTTGAGCAGAAAACTGAAAAAATGTGAAAGTAGTTAAATGTGTGAAATGTGAAATTGCGAAAAATGGTTTAAATAAAATCCTATTCTAGATGGTCAGTAAGAGAAGATGCCGTACTGGCATTAATTATTGGTTGAAATCATATAAAAGAAGCCTTATCTGACATCTATGCTTCAAATTCGGAAAAGAAAGTAACTACAGTAAGACCCCGCTTAACGCGGGGGATACGTTCCATCAAAGTAGAGCGTAATGCGAAACAGCGCTAAACGAGGCTATCTTTACATGCATATATTGGGGTTAGGGGAAGATGGCTAGGAAATTGGTTAGGTATTAAATTTAAAAAGTATGTTTTTTTAATAAAAATAAAACCAAACATTTATTTCTTAAAGCCCAAATTAATACCACATTATTATTTCATGCAAAAATAAAAACAAAATATAAATAACAAAACGAATATTCTTAAAAAAAAAACAAATAAAATTCTCAGTCATATTTAGTTAGCCTTCCGCGTTTTCAGTGTTCTGCCTTTTTGTGACAAAAGCATCTAATGTTGTTTGCCTTTTTCTTTTGCGTTGTTCTCCAGATGAGTATGCGATGAGAATCGCTACTCAGACTGAATCTGCTCTCATCTGTAAAGAGTAATCGTCCCCATTCATTGTCTCTCCAATTCCGGTGTTCCCGGCACCACAGAGAACGCCTTTTCCGATGGGCAGGCATTACAGGTACACACCGTACAGGGCGTCGTGCAAACAGACCACCACCGTGCAGTCTTCTGACCACGGTAAAACGCGATATCGGTCGTCCAGTCGCCTGTGTCGTGTGTCTAGCGATTTCTCCCGCTGTCTGCCGCCTGTTTCTTCTGGCCTGTAAGGCAATATACCGGTCATCTGCGGGTGTGGTTCCTCGTGAACGACCACTACTAAACCCCCGAATAGCTGTTCCTGTAGTTTGAAATTGTCTCCAAAGTCGTGAAACGATGCTGTGAGCAATTCCGAACTCTGCAGCCACACTTGTCACACTGCGGCCTTTCTCCAACTTCCCAATGATTCGACCTCGGGTAAAAGCATCCAGATGTCGTCTAACAGATTGATTATTCGCCATTTCTCGCTGAGGCAGCAACTCGGTGTGATTTTAACTGCTATACGGCGTGTAATCTCTTTGCCAGAAATACTGATCTTACACCGACAACATGCTTTATACTACTCAGACACTTCCCCATTACGTCTACCTGCATATCTGCGCATGTGCTACCGTACATCACCTTACTTAATCTCCTGATTGGTCTTTCTGTCCGCTCTGCCTTTTCGTTCAGCTGATATGCTAATTTTTCGACTTCGTCCTTAATTTTTGCACATCAGTGTACAGCACGTTTCCTTCGTTACTTCGTTACTACCTACTAAATACTCTTCTCTAGTAAGTCTCATGAGAGAGAGGCGTTGCAGGCCGTTCGGCTAAACTGCGCATGCGTGGTCATCACGTCATGACACATAATCTGTTTTAAAAGTCTGATGTTTTGCTTTTCTTTCTATTATTATATAGAATATTTAATTTTTTGCATAATTTTAATAACATATAATATGAATAATAATATGTAATAATGCATAATTTTAATAATATATAAGATGTATAATAATATGTATTTTAATTTTGATAACCAGAGAAACATATTTAATTTTTTACATAATTTTAATTTTTACGTATTTGAATTTTGATAACCAGAGAAACAATAGAAGAATATCTAGAAATAAAAGTATTTAGTCAAAGTTTTGCTTAAAAATTAATAATACCAAGCAATTATGAGTGCTTAATCACTTGTTACTCTTCAGCACTAATTGCATTTCAAGAAAGTAGATACATACACACTTTCGTAGGGACCTAAAATTTTTACCGTTAAGGGCCTTCAACTGGCTTAATTTTCCCCTGAACACAAGTATGATCCAAATTCAGTACTGATTATGTATAGACTATATATTGAATGTGCACACAGTATGCATTTAATATGTAATATATTTAGAATGAAACAGACGTTTCATTCTAAATACAATTAAAATTTCTGATATGTATATTTTTCATTGATACCGTTGTTTGAAATTTTTAAGGCATGTATTATGGAATTTTTCAAAGAAATGTCAGTAGTTTTAATAATTTCATTCTTTTGGGCTGGCAGTCTTGAAATATATTTGGCCAAAGTAAGTAAAAAAAAAAAAAAAAAAAAAAAAAAAAAAAACACCTCTTAATAGTAGTATCAAACTGTACATAAATAACCACATCTTACCATAAGCCTTAAATTATAATAAGACAGCAGTGGTGACTATACAGAAAAAAGATCAGAAAAATAAGCGAAGTTGCTGAATTCGCAAATGAATGCCTGAAATAGACTTTAATAACTGCTTAATGTTTGCATAGTAGGAGCTAAAGGAAAGGAATACTGTATATCATTTAATATTAATTAAATATATAAAACTCCTGATCAACGACTATATTTTTAATAAAGATATTCCTCATACTTATATAAAAATGCAGTGACAAATATACACTTATTAATATCTTTTCAGAACTTATAAGGTATTCTAAGGAACTTATAAGGTAGTTTTCATCTCTCTTGCTTACAAAATACCTAATGTCTCTACAAACTTAATCCTATTTTTAATTTCTATATACTGTAGACGCTGCTTAATGTGATCGCAATTTATGTTAGTATTCGGATATTGTTATCGAATTGCTCAAATTACCGAGTTATTGTTTGTAATCGAAAACATGGTAAATTCATCGCTTATTGTGATTCACAATTCGGTAAATATAATCAAAATATTATAGAATAAATTTTTAAAACTGAAGTAAAGTCGCCAGATAAGCTCAAAACTGATTATAAAAGTTGCCAAGTGACACAGAAATGATCCCAAACACCCTTGGTTTCAGTTTTTAGTCAATCATTTAATATTAGGGAAAACAAAATAGTTTATTTTTATTTTGATATAGATATCGCATTACTTTGATTTTGTATAATGCTGGTTTGTTAAAAGATGTTTTATGTGACATAGTGTAGATCAAGAAAATTATGTGCAAGGTTTTTCAAAAACATTGTACGAGTAAATATATCTAAAACGGTTCAAATAATCGAGGACTTTGGATTATGATATTTTATGCAGAAAGATAAGAACTGATGAATTAATTTTAAAATGATCATTTTATGTGAACAAAATCGTCTGAGGTATCATTAGTTAAAATTTTTGAAGACATGATATAATATTGTTGAAGATAGTTACATATATTAAATTTTCATATGCATGTTAATAAAATATACCTTTATCATTACAAAAATACTAGTTTAGAATATAATTTCAAACTATTGTTATTAAAATATCTAAAACTCGAAATTTTATGACATTTAAAATTCGTAACTTTTACTAAGTTATTTAAATTATTAAATTACGTTATTTGTCTTAGAATCAGTTTACTGAACTTTAATTTTCAGATATTTTCACTAAAAGATATTACATGCTAAAAGGGCCTTAATTAAAATATAATTCAAAATTCTTCTTATTTAATTCATTTCTTGAATCAGAACCATGGTTGATTAAAACTAACCAGTTTATATTAGCTCATATATTTGAAACATAATGAATATTACCAATACGGGACAGTTTACATACTTTTTTCAGAACTGCATCTTCATCACTTATGTAAATTTTTCATAGTGGAACTGCGGATGATCTGTTGTATATTCACAGTTCAGAAACTTTTAATACTGTACTTCATATTTCAAAAAATATTTTCTAAAATGTTGCTTAGTGGATGGTATCAAACATTTTAGATTTAATATGATCTTCAACTTTTAAAAAAATATCTTATCATTCTGCGCCGAGATACACAATAGCACGGTATAAACAATTTTTTATTAAATACAGTAATGTTGCATAAATGATAATTGACTTCTTTCATTAAAATTATCAGTTGGGTATATTATAACTTAAATGTATTTTTAAGTTACACACGTTTAATACATTGCTAAAAATTAAATAGCAATTTAAATTAGTAAGAAGTGAATTTAGGGTTTTGAATTGTTCCCTTAAAAAAATATAAATATTATTAAAATGATATATTAAGGATCTTATGTTTTGGGTACTGACAACACGTACCAAACGACGCTGAAAATAAATGAATGGTAGAGTAACTTAATATGTTATAATGGTCCAAAATTTTTGTAAAGATTTTCAAAGGACATCTGTAAGAGCAAAATATTCAGTACTTTAAACAAAACATACTGCGTTCTGTTTCAAATTTTACATTTTCTTTTATATCTTCGTAGACGACTTAAAAGCTATTGATTTTTCGAACAGGAGATTTTTGTAAAAAGTAATTTAAGTAAATAGTTTTTTACCCCTTTTTTTAACTATTTTGCGTAGTACTCATTTATTTCAATTTCTATTTGACTGGAATTAATTTTTTAAATAAATGATGTTCAAGGAGAGAATAATGTATTACTGTTTATTTCTTTATCGTAAGCATACTTTTCTGGGCAGTTTAGACAGCTTTAAAATTTATTGCTGTGTAGACATCAGATATTGAAAAATTTAACGAGTTCAATGAAAACAAAAGCAATAACTCACCGACTTTTTAAGAAATCAGAATTTATAAATTAGCAATATCTGTGAATCCATTAGTGAAAGAATAAGTGTTAGTTAAATATAAATCTTTCTAAATGCGAATGTGTGGAAAATGGTATTAAATTATTTTCATTGAAAGTAGTTTGATTTCAACTAGCTGGCAATAAAATGTTAAAAATAATGATAACTAAATTAATTTAAAAACTAAAATTTTAAAACTTAACTGAATTCGCATCTAAACGATTAAAACTGACAAAAATATAGTAGTCTGAATGCAAAATAAATTGAAAATTCTCCTTGAGTAGTTCCACAGAGCAACTACAGTAGCCACCACAGAAAAAAAAAAAAAAAAAAAAAAAAAAAAAAAAAAACTTTCAACTCTCAACCTTCGCGTGCTTTTGCCATTGTTGCTCCACTAGATTCAAAACACTTCTTTCAAAAATGAAATCGCTTTATGGTGCATTCAGAATCGGCTTGAAGTCTGGTAACGGAACGATCAGCTAGTTCTATATCACGCGTCTACCTATTGTAATCGACTAGAATTTTTTTTTTTTTTTTGTTCCCTTCAAGGACCTCCCGAAAGCAAGCCGTTGACAGCAACATTCGATCGGCAACAATGAATGGCCTAAGCTGCCTCTTTTTGCATCATCCGCTGTGCCCTCGAAGAAGCCATTCGATGAGGTCGCCGCTTCCTTCCCGCAGGCTGGAAAAAACGAAACGGAAACGGGGATGCGGGATCGACGGATGCATGCAGTCCGACGTGTGTATAAAGATGCGGGGCCTTAGGGTTGTAACGCGCCGAAAGGACAGATGCTGAAACCGTGATCGCCAAAGCAGAATTTGCTTAACACTGTTATAAATAAAGGATGCGCAGGAATACTTTCGTGTCATTGGAGTACTCCAAATTCCTTTAATTATATGTAATAAAAATAAGAATAAATAAGTTTTAAAAAGCAATAAATTGTGTTCCTAACTTGAATATTTTCGCCAGTAACTCAGTTGACACAAATTTAATCTTCGTTCTAGGAATAGAATTTCATGCCTTCTTGGTTTATTTCGAGGCACAAGGCCCTCGGTAGCTAGGCTTATTATAATATTTTTGCTCACATCTAGATAATTTTGAAAAAATACTTACAACAGAAAATAAAACATACTATAGGATAAGCATCTATGAGTTAAAAGGCT